TCTTTTCAGGAGGCAGAAACCCCACAAAGCACCTGGGCCGGACTCTGTCTCCCCATCCACCCTGAAGCACTGTGCTGATCAGCTGTCTCCGGTGTTCACAGACATTTTTAACACCTCACTGGAGACATGCCATGTGCCAGCCTGCTTCAACGCCTCCACCATCATCCCTGCCCCCAAAAAACCAAGGACCACAGGACTAAACTACTACAGACCTGTCGCCCTGACCTCTGTGGTTATGAAGTCCTTTGAGCGCCTTGTGTTGTCCCACCTAAAATCTATCACAGACCCACTCCTGGACCCCCAGCAGTTCGCCTACAGAGCCAACAGGTCTGTAGATGATGCAGTAAACATGGCCCTTTCACTACATCCTCCAGCACCTGGACTCCCCAGGAATCTACGCGAGGATCCTGTTTGTGGATTTCAGCTCTGCTTTTAACACCATCATCCCGGCCCTGCTGCAGGACAAGCTCTCTCAGCTAAACGTGCCTGACTCCACCTGCAGGTGGATCACTGACATCCTGATGGACAGGAAACAGCATGTGAAAGAAAACATGTCTCTGATTCCAGGACCATCAGCACCGGATCCCCTCAAGGCTGCGTTTACCCCCCCCCCCTTCTCCTTGTACACCAACAGCTGCACCTCCAGTCACCAGTCTGTTAAGCTCCTGAAGTTTGCGGACGACACCACCCTCATTGGGCTCATCTCAGGTGCGGACGAGTCCGCCTACAGGTGGGAGATCGACCATCTGGTGACCTGGTGCAGCCAGAACAGACTGGAGCTCAACGCTCTGAAGACGGTGGAGATGGTTGTGGACTTCAGGAAGAGCACAGCCCCACCCTCCCCCATCATCCTGTGTGACTCCCCAGTCGCTACTGTGGACTGTGCTTCCTGGGCACCATCATCTCCCAGGACCTCAAGTGGGAGCTGAACATCACCTTCCTCACCAAGAAGGCCCAGCAGAGGATGTACTTCCTGCGGCAGCTGAAGAAGTTCAGCCTGCCAAAGACAATGATGGTGCACTTCTACACCGCCATCATTGAGTCCATCCTCACCTCCTCCATCACCATCTGGTACACTGCTGCCACTGCCAGAAGGCTGCAGTCCATCAGTACCAAAACCTCTCGCCACAAAAGCAGCTTCTTTCCATCTGCAGCTAGCCTCATCAACAAGACCCGGGTCCCTCACTGACGCTCCCCCCTTTAAAAATAATACAACAACTGTCTCTGCACATATTACATAAATACATAATACATAAATAATATTTAATTTCATATTACGCACAAACTTGGCACACTGTACATATTTGTTGTTAATTGTTAATCTTTGTTGTTATACATTTTTATATTGTCAATTTATATTTATGAACACAATACTCTTCCGTTGCAACACGTCTTTCCTCTGCAAATAGTTGTATTATTTTTCTCTATTCTCTTATTATTCTTATATAACTTGCATTGTCTAATCCATATTTATATATTTCTACATTTATTTATGTCAACTGTATGTTTGTCTGCGTGTAGCACCTCATCACCAAAGCAGATTCCTTGTATGTGTAAAAGACAACTTGGCTCTTTCTGATTCTGAAAAAAAGGCTACTTTGCCAAGAGATAACACAGTGAGTATCTGTGCTATTTTTTGCTTTGAAATGCAAAATCCAAATGTTTTGTTATACAATATGTGTAACAAGATAAACAATGCAGATACTGATATGAACAAAGAAACAATACTGAAGGTATCAGAAACACTTGGTCAGGGCTCCACACTAAAGCGCGCGCCCCATTTCAATTATGACAATTATTGATGAGGATGAAAGAATGTCATCTACATAGTTATTTGAAACATTTGGCCAGTACATTAGTAAATTAATGGTTTTAAATGTTGTTTTCTATTAAAGCCTTTTTAATGAATGCATGTTTAACATGCTATCCGTATAGTTAAAAAGGTGAGTTTACATTTTCATAGATTTTCAAGATAGCTGGGCCTTCATCATTTGTGGATACGCATGGTCTGAGGCAGTTCTGAATTTGTTCGCAGAGAACAAACAAATTCTGGTACAAAAATATCGAGCAATCATTGATGTGTGATGTTCCCTTCAACATGACACTTTACTCCCAGAAGAACTACCATAACTGCTTCAGTAAAAATGCTGACAGGCTAACAAAAACTGTGATGCCCACCACTGTCCTTTCTATGATTTTTACATAAAGGATTTAGGCACATTGGACAAGTTCATTGTTTAAGTACCTCAAAGCGGTGAAAGCTCCCGTCTGATAGTTTCATCTGCATCAGAACTGAAGGCTGCAGGGCCCTGGCTAAAGAGCTGTGGACACACAAAACGACAGACTTCAATACACTAAGTTGGAAACATTTCTTTAAAGAATGTGTTTAACATTATCACATCTTTTTCTTTGGATTTTCTTTGATGGACTTTTCTTTAGCAGGTCCCTTAGTCCAACTACCCACTTCCACTTCTTGTATTTAATTACAAACAAAGCAGAGACTTTAAAACACCTCACATTCTGTAATAGCGATGTTTTTCTCCAGGAAAGACATACCAAACAACAGAAAAGCTTCAATAAGCTGGTTACAGGTTGAAAAAGGCATCTTTTCTCCCTTGGTACATTACCTTGTAGAAATAGTAACATCCACTCTCCATTTAAAGGCTTCTACTTTGGGGAGGTGAGGATCATTCTGGGAGGTGGCTGCCTCTAAAGCTGCCCGTCTGCAAATACAAAGAGAGGCGTGATGCAGCATGATGGACACATCGCAGAGAACTGTCATCGTCCTGTGGTGATGAAAGCCAACCACAACACTGTCCAAACAAGTTTAGTTTACATCATAAAGAGGGCATGTATTTATTTATGGTAAAGGGAGCTCTGTGCATTCAAGAGAAGACACAAAAACAGAGATTACATGTATAAAAAGGTATAAATTTAAAGGCTGTAAATTCAACATACCGACTACCAAAAACCACACTGGAGAAATCTGTGATGAAGTCTTCAGGTATCCTAAATGACAAAACAAACACAACCAATTCAGAATTTGAGGTTGAAATTGAGTTGTCTATAAGCAGTGACATTGACAATGCGATAAAATGATGGCCCTTGCCTCAGTTCCCGGAGATCTTCTTTGAAGGCCTAAAAAGGAGCACAAACAAAACTTTATGTATTATGTTATATGAGAACAAAAACGTATGACTCCATGCTAAGGAAGAGAAGGCAATTAGCATTTGTTGCTCTAGATATCCACAGTGAGAAGAGGCCTTTAACAAACCAAACATAAAGGAGACATTTTAGCAGGGTCCTAATTTCATACTGCATACTACACAATGTATACTATATATACTTATTGTTATAATATACTGATTTGCAATTAGCATACAAAATAATTAACATACTTTACTGCTTTGTGTTGAAGAAATATTGTGAACCAGGTTCAGGTGTGAAGAAGTTTCGGAGACTGATGAAGACTTAACATAGCATGGTTTATTGAGCCTGGCCGAGGAGACACAGTGCCAGCACACAACATGTGAACACGCCAAATGCCAACACCAAAACTGAAGGGTAACGTCTTTTGGTCCCTTTTACGTTTCTGTCTTCCCCCTAGTGCCTGTAGGTTTCTCTATTAGGTCATCTTTAGCTGGCCTTAACCTAGAACAACTAATCTATCTGATGTTTAGACTACAATGCTTCGTCATATTGGAATCCATCACTATCCATGAGTTGTACTCCAATCTGCGGAGCCGGTGAGTTTGTGTGTAAACATTCTTGTAGGACTCAACCTTTTAAGATTCACAAAGAACACTGATATCTGCTAGCCTGACTAACATTAACGAGGTTCTTCTATTCAAGTGTTCCAGTAAACCATGGCAGTTTGACAGAGAGCCAGCATGCACAATACCAGAGCCGTGTCCAAAGAAACCTTAGACACACAGAAAACCCTGCATTTGTTCACTCAAGCACTACTCCATATAAAAGACATGCAATGGTTCGCTCTTTAGTAAACTGATATTTTGGACACTTTTCACACATAATTTTATATGTATAGTTGCACAACAGTAAATGTTGTATCTATAAAAATGTAGCACATTCAGCAATCTTTAATTGTTTTTATTTACACCTATGCTTTTTCCTACAGTGATATGTCAAATTGACTTCTGTGAAAAAGGCCAATATTCAAGTGTTCTTTTAGTAGGCACAATAACATGTTTGAGTACAAATAATTTTGGCACTTTTTTCAGTATCAACACACAGACACAGAGGGATTTTCTAGTGTTTAGCACCAGCTTACCTCCTGTTTAAGTGATGCTGTGGGGATGCGGGTGGCCTCAGACAGCAATCTGTACATCCCAGCGACGATGTGACTGAGCCTCTCCTGGGGGATGGTGCTGCTCTCTGCTATCGTCTTCATAACCTCTCTGCAGTCCTTCCCCTCCAGGGCACTGACCACCGCTGGACAGGGAATAATTCACAGCCACATTTAACTAAATTATTTAATGGCTTCAAGTGTGCCTGTTCAGAGTCTCACTGGCTGCATTGGGAGGTCACAAGTTATTTGAGCTGTCCTCTTATATCAAAACCTCACAGTAAAATGTGGTTGCTGCCCAAATATTTCATTAAAATAAACGCATGTCAGTGGCTTGAGCCATGCATTTAAATAGATATTGGTGAGATACAGACTGGTGAACGGGTCTGTTTTAGAGATATTAACAGCCATATCACCTCGCAGACAATTAACTAGTAACCTATTTACCTTTCAGTGTTTTTCTGAACAACTCTTGGTCTACATCCTTCAGGTTTTTCGACATTGACTCGATTTCTGGTGGTATCCTGCCTCCCAAAAAGCTGGACTCCTTTGCATGGCTTGAAGACATGACTCACCATGTACTAATATGCTGTATGCACAGATAACAAATGACGAAAAGTATTTGGAACCGTCTGTCCTGGATTTTATGCTACTTTGTTTAGCTTCCGCCTTTATGTCACATGACGCTCGCCTCGCTTGCTCCCTGTAGTCTCGCGGGAACAGCTTAGTTTATCCGTAGGAAAGAAAGGATTTGCAAATGGAGGTGGCAGAAATGATCATTCTTTGAACGACACAAGGTTGGTATTTCAATGTATGTAGCGTCTTAATTTCAACGCTGCCAGGTTTGTAACCCGTTGAGATTTGTTACTGTGGGGAAAATATCAGTTAGGTGTTATTTTGTAGCTTGGTAAACACTACGTGGACATTTGGAGCATTAGCAACCAGCTAACGATGTTAGCTTGTGTTGTGTTCCAATCACGGGCTGTCGCCTTTTCCAGAGACGACACTGTGTTCCCAAACTAATACAGCTATAGCTACTTCTTTTTAATGCTGGACGTATTTTACCTAGCCTTTTTTTCTTGCGACTGTATATTTACAGTAACGCATCTCAGTCTGTTTTCAAGAAAAACAATTACGGGAGTTGGATGCTTAACGTGGAGGACATCTAACGTTAGTGTCAACAATTAACGTTAACACTACCAGCTTCTTAAACATCCTTCGTAGGTGAAAATCCATAAATAAAAACACCATTATTAGTAGGTTGCTTAACTAGCTTTGCCCACTAACGTCACGAATGTTTTCACCAACGACCCAAAGAAGCGATTAGGAAAATGTAAGAGTCCGAGGAATGTCACTGTGGATTAAAGAAAGTTTTGCTTTGGTGAGTGACTGTGCCACGATCTCAATCTTGTCTTTTCTCATCATTATATCTGTAAATGATATAAAGACGGACAAATTATATACCATATATATTTGGTTCGTATTACCAACACATTGTTGATGTATTAATGGTGAATATGGAAACCTTTAGTAGGATAAAAGACCCACAAAACTATTGCGTATTTGTTTGTTTTGTAATTTTCACTAGTGTTTCTGTTGTCCAGACATCAATAATTTTATGTACAATTAAAAGTAATTAAATTAACACCTGTACAACCCAATGTGGAGTCCAATACATAGCATTCAATACATGCTACATTTTGTAGAGCTTTTTTTGAGGATGTATCATGTGTTCCTTCAGTTTGGTGGTAATTTTGCGACTGTAGCTGTATTGAAAGATGCCATGTTGTGTTTGTCTCATCTTCACCTCTGTTTCTGTGTCAGGTATATTTAGCCATGTCTGAATCTCTGTATGAGAAGTTTTTGGCCCCGGAGGAGCCTTTCCCTCTCCTTTCCCAAAGAACCAACCTCAGTGATGTGGGAACCCTGGATGTCAGTGACTTTGGCTGTCAACTCTCATCTTGTCACAGAACAGATCCTCTACACCGCTTCCACAGCAACAGGCAAGTAGAGTGCATGCATGCATGTGTGTGTTCATAGTAGGGCTGGACCCTAATATTCGATCATTCAATTTTCTCTGTTGTGAGATTCGAATGTTGAGGGGTTTTTTTTCCATGCGCGTGACCTCCGCACACAGCAGTGAATGTAACGCTCCAGTTCACATCAAAGAGAAAACAAAATGAAGTCCTCAGCTGTGTGGCAGCACTTTAAACACTTTAAGCACTTTTAAACTATTCCCGGATCCTGCTCTAGGCCTGCTCAGATCAGAGACTCTCACTCTGGACTCTCAGTTACTGTTTTCCCTGCTCTGCACAGCAGCCACCAACCTGGTTCAGCACACATCTATTTACAATCTTCCTCGCTCAATATCCGATCCCTTTAACCCCACAATAAATATTTCTCTTTTATGTTACTCCTTCCTTCCTTAGTCTTGGACTTGGGCCTGCTAGCCTAGCCATAACAAAGTTAAAAACGTTTTGATAATGGTCACTTTTCACAGTTAGCCTACACTATGAGAATAAATAGGGCCTAAACAGAGGGCGCGCTCTCTCTCTCTCTCTCTCGCACACACAGACTTATGCACCCATGCTCGCTGCTATCTCTCCCCCCATCCGATCCTCCCTCACTTTGCCGGACCTCTTGGGCATGTTCCCTCTTCTGCTGTTCTGCTTCTATCTCTGAAATACGTAGCTGTAGCTCGTGAAATGACTGCCTGCTTATCAACACCTGTTTAAACACGGGACTGGTGGGGGTTCGCAAGAGCTGGACCTACCACCAGCTGTTGGAGGATGTGCCATTGCAGCTGTTGGTGGCATTCACCACCACCACACAGCTGTTGACAACTGTTAATGTACTTGTTAATGTGCTTGTAAAGTTGCATATGTCCTGGATGACAGGTGCTGGTAAAGAATGTTTACAACTGTGGCAGTGCACTAGTATTGATGCATTTCACACCATGTTTGTTTGTATTGTCTCACATCCAGATCTACAGCACAAGGCCGGTAGTAACACCTTTGCTGATCAAATATAAATAAATAAAATAAAAAAAGACTTCCAGATAAACCAAAAATCCCATCATACTTCTCTTCACAATAACAAGGGTAACAGTTTGTGGAAGGTTACATTTACAGCCTGAAACTGTGTATAATTGTTATATTGTCAGATGGCACTGGAACTGAAAACGAGAAAGCAGAATACCAGTCTCTAAATGGAAAAACCTCATAGTTGAAATGTAAATCCTTTTCCTGTGTGCTCACAACTTTGTCTCAACTTTGTAAATGATATGAATAATTTTCAGACATATCTCATTGAACATACGTTGATTCCCCAGGTGGAACCTGACTTCCTGTGGGACCAGTGTAGCCAGCTCAGAGTGCAGCGAGGAGCTCTTCTCCTCTGTGTCTGTGGGGGATCAGGACGACTGTTACTCCCTTCTGGATGACCAAGAACTAACATCTCTGGACTTGTTTCCAGAGGGCAGCGTTTGCAGTGACGTCTCCTCCTCTATCAGCACCTATTGGGACTGGTCCGACAGCGAGTTTGAGTGGCAGGTTGGTTGTCAGTTGGCCAGTTATCTAACCTAGAACTGCTGATTTCAGCTTGGGTGTTTTAGGATGGAAGTCACGAGAACCTAGTTGTATTATTTGTTTGCATCAAACACAAGGGACGTGGATGTTACTGTCATTACCAGGCTAGTTTGTCCAAATAATCTGTCCTCCCTTGTTGTTTTCTCTGCCCCTCATTGTCTTTGTTACTACTGTCCTCCCAGTTGCCAGGAAGTGACATCGCCAGTGGCAGTGATGTCCTTTCTGACATCATCCCGAGCGTGCCAAGTTCACCCTGTCTGTTTTCCAAGAGGAAGCCTAAGTCCCACCCTCATCGCAACCTGGATGAATTGCCGTGGAGTGCCATGACCAACGATGAACAAGTAAACAAAGCCAACACACGTTTCTGGACCTCTCTGTGCTGTCAGAGTGCTCAGAATTAACAGCAGTGAAACTGACGGGCTTTCTGACTCCGCTACTAGTTCATGATATCTGTTTAGCTAAATTTACGTTTACGTCAGTGTCAGGTAACCATTATCAACTTAATTTTATTTATAGAGCCCAATGTCACAAGTCACAAATTTGCCTCAAGGGGCTTCACAATCTGTACAGGATACAACAACGTCTGTCGTTAGACCCTCGAAAACTCCCCAAAATCCCTTTTAACAGGGAACAAAGCGTCTCGTATCCAAATTGTACTGTTTTGTTGTGCAATGGTTTTAGTGTAATAAAGTTATCCATTTGTAAACAACAACAAAAAAAAAAAAACACAAAGGAGCGCACATCATGAAGAAAGGTTGCAAGGAAACGATCACATTCAGAATTAAAGTTTCACTTTACGACTGAGCTGAAATATCAGCGCACCGCTGAAGAGAGAGGAAAACATGGGCGTATAATCCACAGAGGAAAACAAATCATGGTGGATAGACTGTTCAGGTAGTCATTATTATACAGTCTTTAGTTTTTTGGATTTGCGCAAACGAGAGGAGGATGTGAGCTTTGGTTGTTTGAGCTGGACAGAGCAATCAGATCTCAATGTGGACACTGCAGACACACATTAATACCAGGTGTAAATGTAATTGGGTTCTAGATACTATTTGGATATGAGATGCATTTTAATGCCATGCATCAGGGAGTTTTCCACAACACGTTCCTGCAAATATTTTACAATAAAAGCCTTGAAATGAAGGGTTTTCTTTCCACTGACATTTTAATTTAAAGATACAGGAAGTGTAGGGTTTGTAATTACTGCTTAATGCAGGAACTTTAACAGGGTTTTCAGGAGTGGATCAAAACAACTTACCTTTTGATCTGCTACGTTACTGACTGTACCGACAAGCTATATCTCTAGCAAACAGATGTGACAAGCATGAGTGACATGACTGCCCTCAGGAACGGGGTTCTGTCAGAGTTGTATTCAAATGGGAAAAATTATGGAGTTGTTGTTTATTAGCTTTCCAGCAATGGCTTATCTTATCTTGTGTTGGTAATTGTCAGTTTTGTGCTGGTTTAAAATTTTAACCATCAGTGGAGGCAGAGATGCCTGGACAAAACTCAAAACTACATTTCTGTGTTTCCACGTCCAGGTGGAGTACATTGAGTACCTGAGTCGCAAGGTCAGCACAGAGATGGGCCTGAGAGAGCAGCTGGACATCATCAAGATCATCGACCCCTGTGCTCAGATCTCTCCCACCGATAGTGAATTCATCATAGAACTCAACTGTCTCACCGACGAGAAGCTCAAACAGGTGGGTGGCAATGCTGAAGCTCTCTGCTTTAACATACAAGTCAACTGCGTGTGCAGCCCATTACCAAGTTAAGAGTTATATCACTCGCATCAAAGTCTGTTCTATTGTAATCCATTGTACACCTATAACCTGTGTTTTGGTTATCTAGAGCCACTATGTTTATGCATGTGCTTGTTAATTAGTTCATATAAATTAAAATAGCTTAACCAACTTTCAAGGAATGGATAATGGAAGGATATATTTATTTTCTTATTTGGGTCAGCTGTTGGTTATTGTTGTATATGGAACCCAGAGTTATGTGGAAGTAAAGTTTTTGACCTATGTGATGTCATCAGGTGCGTAACTACATCAGAGAGCACAGCCCCAGGCAGCGGGCCAGCAGCACCAGAGAGAGCTGGAAGAGGAGCAGCCACAGCAGTGCCAGCACCGGCGGTGTGAGCGGAGCCAGCAGCAGTAACGCGAGCATGGTCAGCTCCTCCAGCTCCTCCACTGGCTCTACAGCCTCCAACTCCATAGCGGGTAAGGTGCTACCTGGTTGGCTAGCAGTTTAGTAGCCGTAACAGTGCCACCAGCAGAGGATCCAGCGATGGGGACAACGTCGGCTCAGTTGTCTTGATTGTAAAATGACAGAAAAGCACTTTTATTGTTGAAATACTTGGTTCAATTTTTAGCTCAGTGTAAATTATTTTTGGCAATTAACTGTTTACATTTCCTTGTATTCCAGGTGGTACGGCATCAGCCTGTAGTGGAAGCAGTGTTGCCAACATTAGCAGAGCTCACAGTGATGGAAACCTTTCCAGTGCTGCAGAACGTATACGAGACTCTAAAGTAAGAAATATGAACGTGGGTGTAGGTGGGCAGGTTTTATTAATGTTAAATCTGTTTACACAGTCACAATCCCGAGGGGAAGGGCATTTTTTGCAGCCTCAGTTTTAAACCTTTGAACTTAGAGCACATTTGTTCCTGGACCCTATTTCTACATCCCTACTCATACACATATGTTATCTTTACTTTAACTAATTCATTCTAGTTTATATCTAATTCATATATTTGTTGCATTATTGTTACCACAAATGTTTTTTTTTTTAAAAGTCCTGTGCACCTTGTTTTTTAAGCAGCCATTTGTTTAACCTCACCATTGCCTTTGAGACTGCTGGTTGCCTTGATCCTCAACTCATCTTTAACCTCTTTGTCTCTCGCCACGCTGTCTTTCAGAAACGCTCAAAGCAGCGTAAGCTTCAGCAAAAAGCCCTCCGGAAGCGGCAGCTGAAGGAGCAGCGACAGGCCCGCAAGGAGCGTCTGAGTGGACTGTTTCTGAACGAGGAGGTGCTGTCGCTGCGAGTGACGGAGGAGGACGACCACAGTGACGACCTGGACATACTGATGTGACACCAGTGAATCAATCAGTGCTCCCTCTATGCCTGCTCTCTCACCGCCCAGCCACTACCGTAGAGATTATAGACCACGCTAATCCAGATCTCTGCATGCATTCGCTTTGAGTAGGCAAACACGCTCGTAATGCAGTAATAGCTTGTAGTAGCTTGACATTTTGCTTGCTAATACTAGTATAGTACCGCTAGTGCTAAAACTGATAGCTGCTGCAATCACTGCTAAGCTAGCTACAGCAGTAATACTGGTAACGCTTTGATTCTGACCTCAGTTTAGCCTGCTTATAGCCAGCACTAATGCTGAACCTAGAAGGCTCGTAGATGCACATGAAAATACACTATTAATGACAGTTATTTCATTAATAGAGGATTGCTTAAAGATGCTCTAACAGCTTATATCCACTGCTACTAATACAGCCACCACTGGCAGAAGGAAAGTTCAGGCAAGAGAAGCAGAGTTTGTCCACATTATGCAGATGCTGCTCTGTGGAAAACCAGGGGATGAGAACAAGTTTTATTTTTCCATAATAATACATGAGCAACTATATGCAATTTGAAAGTCTTTTGGCTAATTTTGGTGGTGGTTTTCACCCATCTACCTACACATCCATCCATCCTCTACAGGGCTCTATCTGCCATCGGCCAAACTCTGTTCATCTGCAGCTCTAGTTTAAACTGCTGTAGGTAATGTACAGCATTATATAAATATGAGTACCCTCATAGGGACACGTGCGGGGAAAACGGCACAAAATCGTGCGATTGAAATCTCTCATTGGTTAAGCAATTTCTCTAAATGGCGAATGCTTGAAGCTGGATTTAGAGTTAAAGATTAGATTATTTTAAGGGGGAAATGATTTATATTGCTGAAGAGCATCCTCCAAAACTAGCATCTGAGGTTAGGAGGTTTGTGGTGTGGAAACTGAAGTGAAAGGAAGTGAGCTGGTCTGTCTTTCTATCTGCTGAGTGTTGTGGTCCCATTTCACTCTTAAGGCTTAGAGGGAGCACTGAAACTGTGCATGTTTAAATCGTCACCCACAGTCCCTGTGAGGTCCGATAACTACCAACTTGCATCATTGTTTGCATAGAAAAATAGCTACAGTGTTGTAAATAAATGATAAATAACAGCATATTTACTGCTTGCTTTAAGGTTTTCCTTGGTGATAAAGATTTGATATAACATTTTCCCATATATATATAAACACAGACACTAATTGGTTATCTTTGTGTTGTCATTTGCCACTGGTTCTTTGTATATTTTGAGTCTTATTTTGAAGCATTTAGCTGTTTTGTTAAGTACTTGAGTTTGGTCATCGTCTCACATCTTTTGAACTCTGACTTTGTGAAGTCCTCTTAGTTTCTCTGCCAGCCCTCCTACTGTATATTCCATCTTTTACCTCCGTTCACACTTTTGAATGATTTGATCACCATCTTAAGTTTTGAAGCATTTGAGCGTTGGTAAAGTTTTGACAGATCACATTGTGTCTGTCCACGTACTGTATGGCTGGTTTGGCTTCAGCGCTAAACTTGAGCTGGTTTCTTAAAAATGCGCATCTAACATTGAGCCATGAACTCAGCAGAAGTGTGTTAATTTTGTTAAACGGCTCAACACAGCTTTTGGAGTTACCATGCCGTTTTATCTTTTTGCTAGAAGCAACCTGAGAAAATTGTTTTGTGTCTACCTTGCAAGAAACACTTTCCCATGACTTGTCAGCTATAAAATGATGAACCACTACAGTTATTGGCTTAAAAAGCCTGTTATTTCTAATGCTTTGTGTACTGAGTTTTGGCTCTGTTGTCTCTGTCTCATGTATAAAGTTATTAATTACAGCAATTATGTTAAATGCAGCTTTGAGTATTCTGTAGTTATGAATTAGTAAAAATCTATTTTGAAAAATAAGAATTTTGAAAAAAAATAAAATAAACCAGTGTGATGCAACAAAGTTATTTGTGTATTTAAGGTACCAATATAAATGATATTGAACTGATTAAATATGATTTAAAAAGGTTTTGGTCTAAACCAAATGGTTTTTGGAGGGTGAACCTCCCTCAGTGTCATTGTCAGAATTTTTACGCCTGTTGAGGTCAAAATATTTTAACCATCAAGCCCCCCTTCCTTACAAAGCCCTATGAAGCAGTATTGCCTGCAGGTGTCCCTTGTATTATCACCGGCTAAAGTGTATTGATTACCTGCTGTCATGTTGGTGGTTCAGGCAGGACTGCGCAGTTCTGATTTACTTTAAACTTAACAAATAAACTGACATTGTTGCATCCTATTGTCCTCGTCTATGGTGGCATTTTCTTCAAGTGTGGAAGTGTTATTTTATCGCATTTACAAGACAGAGCCACATAATGTCATAGCTTAAATTCGGAGTGCACTGCTAAGGATCTTGATTAATCCTTTGCACCGGAGTTAGAATCTGAAAGGCATTTCTCCGCAAGTGAGCAAGAACAATGTCCCAAAATCTCTTCAAAGGGAGTCTTTGGAAGAAACCTTGGGAAGGACCATGCAAGAGGGGACCCCCTTCCTGGGCTGTGCCTCAGTGCCTGTCCATGCTGAATGTTTAGCCCCAGTGTGTGTTTCTGATGGGAACAGTTTTCCTTTCTCCTGCCTCACTTGGATTGACGTGTGCTGCATGTAAAACTCCAAATCATCATCACCTGAATGTACACCAATCAGCCATAACATTATGACTGCCTGCCTGACATTGTGTAGTTCCTCCTTTTGCCGCTAAAACAGCCGTGACCCATCAAGGCATGGACTCCACTAGACCTCTGAAGGTGTGCTGTGGTATCTGGCACCTTAGCCAAGACCTTAGCAGCAGATCCTTTAAGTCCTGTAAGAGGTGGAGGAGCCTCCATGGATCGGACTAGTTTTTCCAGCACATCCCAAAGATGCTCGATTGGACTGAGATCTGGGGAATTTGGATTTAACACCTTGAACTCATTGCTGTATTTCTCAAACCCTTCCTGAACCATTTTTGCTTTGTGGCAGGGCTCATTATCCTGCTGAAAGAGGTCACTGCCATCAGGGAATAACTTTTCCATGAAAGTGTGTAAATGGTCTGCAACAATACAGAGGTAGGTGGTGCGTGTTTACAGTTTTTCTCAATTGTCACAAATTCTGGTACTTGAGACACAATGACCACAACATGTAACTCATTCACCAACCCCCTGAACCAATTCTGCTAAACTATAAGCACAATTCCTGCTTTACACTCAAATTGCAGTTCTAAAACACACTTTTTTCAAAACACTACACACAGTTCTCTGCTTTTGGCACAAGTTTCATGCAGAAAATATCTTGTTTTCACAAGAAACACACTGCCATTCAAATATGCACTCTGACTCATCACAAGGGCAAACACCCGTCACACAGTTTTCCAATTAGCAATCAGAGCTTTAGCATAAAAGTGCAACAGGTGAGCTCTTCAATGGAGCAATGGATGCCAACATTGGAAACAGCGGCAGCGTGAGGCGACGGCCAAGGACCGTAATCTCTGATGAGATCTGAGCCACTTTGGTTGATCATGTGGTCAACCATGGTCTAACAATGAGGGAGGCTGGGCAAAGAGTACAGCCAGATCTGAGCAGGTAGACTGTAGCATCCATTATCCGGACTTTCCGAAATGAGAATAGGTAAGAAATCTACTCTCACTAGCAAATTGCAGTACTGCATATCACTACAGTACTCAATGAGTACAGTAGTACAGTATTGCCTGTGGACTGTTCTGTAGGACTGTAAAAATACTGTAAAGTATGTTTCAAGTATTTAGGAAATGTATACCTACTTTGTATTTACAGTATTTTACTATTTGTTTGGCAGAACTGAAAGATTACCAACACAAGGTGGTCGGGAACGTCTTCTGTCTCCTGAACAGGAAACTGAAATCTTAAACATGGTCCTAGTAAACAACGCCATAACATTACAGCAAATACAAAGAAAAATAATGGAAAACAATGATATTTCAAAATATTGATAGGGTAAGCTTATCAACACTGGACCGTGTCTTGCGCAGAAATCATCTCAGGATGAAGCAGGTCTACAGGTGGCCATTTGAACGCAATTCAGAAAGAGTCAAAGAATTGCGATATAACTATGTGCAAGTGAGTCCCACAATTGATGCATACTGTCAACACTGTATACAGTAAATTATACATATTTCAATATTGTAATCATAATGATTGTGCTTCACAATAGTGACCACTCCATGTCTATTTCTGATATTGTCATGTGTGTTTCAGAGAGTCCTTGAGCTAGAGGTGGCTGCAGTGGAGCACCAGTTCATCTTCACTGAGAAAAAAGATGAAAGAGGGGAAGGAATGTCATCGGCCAGCGTGCCATTGTTGAAGTCCCTGGCCAGCGCGGAGGGAACATCACAATGTGTGCAGCGATTACCCACCACGGCGTCATCATCACCATGCTACCCTTGGCCCCTACAACACCGTCCATCTGATCACATTCCTGGACACCCTACACAACACACTCATTCCACCAGATCAGGTAGATGGCCCAGAGCAGCTCAGGTACGATGTCATTTGGGTCAATAATGACTTCACTTTTTCTAAACTCTTCACACTGTTAGCACAACAGAAGTCTATGTGGACTAAACTGAGATTGACTCTTGCCTTGCTGTAATACAAAATGCATTGATTTACACTAACACAAAAGACCTTAAATGACCACAGCTTTCAAAATTCAAGAATTATTTTCTCACTCAGTCATCCACCAGAAAAGCCATGTGTATCCACAGCCAATTTTGCAAATGCTTACATAGTCTTTTCAAAACTGTTAAATTTAAGTTCAAAACCTTATATACATTCAAATGGACAGCAATTTGCCAAATTACAAACCCCACTGAAATGCATTCAAAATCCTAAAAAAGATGGTTATGGAGACAAATAGTATTGATTGAAATTATGTAAATGATACCAACAACCGGCCATTCCCATCTCAGTTAGAGCCCTAGCCCTACTTAGTGATCTCTTTACCACCTATAAAAGCAGACATCTTAGGAATAATTTGTTACACCGTCACTTCAAAATGGAGCCTGCAAGAGATGGAGGAGAGAGTGGTACAGAGAGGAAGAGGATTCTGCATGCGAGGTAATGTAAGGCAACAGCAGAGATGACCAAGAGCTGCAGATTACCTGGTCAATCACAGACCAGGTAATCAACCATGGGCTATCATTGAAAGAGGCTGGTCTTAGAGTGCAGCCAAATGTGGCCGCTCAATGGTAGCATCAATTGTCAGAATCTTCCAGTAAACTAACAGGTAAAATATGTATCCTGAATCTATTGCTTGTGTGTATTTCTTCTTTAGGACCCAATGACTAACCCCCACAGGGGGGATTTCTTTTACAGAGTCATGGAGCTGGAAGCCCATCACACACCCCATGTTTTTTTTATTATTTTTTTTTGTTTGTTTGTTTGTTTTTTTTTTATCTACGTGGACTTGGCCAAAACAGGACAAAATTTGATTGCTAAAAGAGGCAAAAGGGGTGCCAATGTTACCATGTTTGCAGTGATATTGTTATGAGGTGGTGTGTGGACAGAGGACCCAAACACAGCACTCTGAGGGAAGGAGGTTTATTGGGGTGGGGGGGGGATGTCGGGGAAACACTGGCACGGGGAACCAAGGAGACTGGGGGCCAGGGAGCCGGGGAACACTGGGGCCGAGGAAGCGAGGAGTGGTGGGAGAACAGGGAGGACGCTGTGAGGGAAGTCTGAGGAGGAGAGGGCCGGTGGATGAGCCCAGCCGACTGAGCGGAGGACGAGGGTGAGTGTACCTGGGAGGGAAACAGACAGAGAGGGAGAGAGGGTTAGAGATGACAGAGACAAAGCACGGGGAAAATGTGAGGGGGGGGGGGGGAGACAAGAAACGTGAGAGCCTGAACGTGGAGGTGGCACCGGGTATGGAGCAACGATGACTCATGTTGACTACTGGCAGGTGTGGCAGGCTGACGAGGTGGCTGAGGTGCAGGTGCGGGTCGTTGGCTGGGCTCAGGAGCCGAGAGAGCGCGCGCACACACAGGGGAGGAAACACAGGGAGGCAGGCAGGGAACAGAAAACCAAGGAAAAAGCAGAATAACTGATAAATAGGAGGAAAAACCAGGACACTCACCGTCAGCCGGGCTGCCACCACAACAGATATCCTCTGATGGCGTGCTGCTACACAGTTTTTTGAGCAAGCATTTACAGTGCTGACTTTTGTTTCCCTTGCAATTTTCATTTACTGTAGTTTATTTTTGAATTACTTGATGGCAAAGATAAAGTACAGTGTAGTAAAGCATAAAGTACAGCCACTAGCTTTTCCTGTTGCATCTCGATAACTTCCTGTTGAACATTCTATAAGACTTACCATTCTTACTGTATTTCATAATGGGAACTTTATTTACTGTAAAATAAGACGATGTACACATTTCATATCAGCAATAAAAAAATATAAATATACATACACACAACCAAAAAAATAAAGAACGATTACTTAAGAACTACCAAAGAATTATTTGTGTTCACTACTTCAAAGATTCCCATAAAATGATGCATCTACTGTAATGCTACCTGCTGTTAGTGTTTTTTTAGGTAATTGTGTTATGAGTGACAAAGTGTTGCTGTTGGAGAGCTGGTGTTTTTGTAAAATAATTTGATATTGACACAACTATGCAGTGTCTTGGTGCATTTTGGGTGTGAAATTACTGTAACTGTTATGCAAGCTGTGTGCTGGTACAGACAACAGTGTGAAGAGTTTGGAAAAAGTCATCTCAGTACTGAAAAATAATATTAGCAATTGTAAAAAAACTGTAAATTGGAAGATGTGTTTCCTCTACGCAAAAAAATATTTTCTGTAACTACATGCCCTGGACGATGTGTTCTCAATTTTTTGATGTCGTGTCTAAAGAATGCTTGTAATGTTTTACCTATTGAATGACTATGTTTTGAATGCATTGTTTGATTTTGAGCACAGATCACATGGTTTTGAGGCAAGTGTTTGATTGTGCCAGGGGTCAGGGGTTTTGTGAATGTAGTTTAAAGACTGGGGTTTGTGTTTAAAGTTTTGAGAATATGGGTGAAGGTTTCAAGAAATGTGTCTTAGCAATTGTGAAAAACTGTAATACTAAGGTGAGACCAAAGGTTTTTCCTCCTACTTCTCAAATTCACCTCATGGGAAACAATCACATACAATCTCATTTATGTCTTACTCTGATCAAAACAAGAGATCTCTAAATTATTTTATACTGTATATCTAATTGAAGTCTCTTGAACATGAACCATGAGATCAGAGAAAGAGCTCAAAGAAAACTCGACTCCTGGGATCTCATGATTCTTCTCAAATATTCTTTCTCAGTTTTCTCAGTGACCTCAGGAGGAAATAACTCATCTGTGTCTTCCACTGATCAAAAGATGAGATCTCTAAATTGTCTTAAATACGTAATTTAAGTCTCCAGAATGTGGATCAGAAAAAAAGCTCCAAGATGTCTCGGTTTTTCCTTAGTGACCCCACTTAGGGATGGAAAATACAGTACTTTTTTACTTTACTTAAGTCAAATGTTGAGGTACTTGCTCTTGAGTATTTTGTTTTTAGGGGGCTTTATACTTTTACCTACCCTGAATTTAAAATCCTGTCTTGAAGTTGTATTTATTGCTGTCTGTCTGAACCCTGTTACACTGAAAAGAAGAATAAATATATATTGTGTTGTAGAAATAATGCACTTTCAAATTTAATGTTTTCCAATTATTTAATGTAGTCACAGCCAGCATAACTGGAACACCCACCACTTTAACATGGTGTTTAGAGATGAATTACAGGGTGCCACTAGCTGCCACAGGCTGCCAAAGGGAGCCACTAGCTGCCACAGGCTGCCACAGGCTGCCACAGGGAGCCACTAGCTGCCACAGGCTGCCACAGGCTGCCACAGGGAGCCACTAGCTGCCACAGGCTGCCACAGGGAGCCACTAGCTGCCACAGGCTGCCACAGGGAGCCACTAGCTGCCACAGGCTGCCACAGGCTGCCACAGGGAGCCACTAGCTGCCACAGGCTGCCACAGGCTGCCACAGGCTGCCACAGGGAGCCACTAGCTGCCACTAGCTGCCACAGGCTGCCACAGGCTGCCACAGGCTGCCACTAGCTGCCACAGGCTGCCACAGGCTGCCACTAGCTGCCACAGGCTGCCACAGGGAGCCACTAGCTGCCACAGGCTGCCACAGGCTGCCACAGGGAGCCACTAGCTGCCACAGGCTGCCACAGGGAGCCACTAGGTGCCACTAGCTGCCACAGGCTGCCACAGGACCGGAGGGCTCTGCAGCAGGTGAAAACTGCTCAGAAGATCATAGGTACCCATCTCCCGAGCATCAGTGACATCGGTGAGGTGCCTACGCAGAGCCCAAAGGATACTTAAGGACAGTACCCACCCAACGACAGCCTGTTCACCCTGCTGCCTTCTGGGAAGAGATATAGGAGTTTCTGCTGGCACGCCACCAGACTGCAGAGCAGCTTTTCCCCCCAAGCTGTCAGATTCTTAAACTCTAATTCATCCTCAGCACACGTCCATTAATTATAGTTTATTTCTGCTTAGCATTTTAATTGATTCTTTATTATTGTATATTGTCTGCTATGTAGCAGAAAGGAGTTACAAAACACAATTTCACTCTATTATTATATTGTGACAATAAAGTCAAGTAAGTGAGTCTTGATATGCCTTCTGCTTTCGATAGTAATATTTTGCTTCTTAAGATAAATCCCTTAGCAGCCAATGGTTTCCTAGCCGTCATAGGTTGCAACTACCACTAGCTGCCACTGGGAGGATCTCAGTGCTGCTGATAGTTTGCGTTTTTCCCGACAAGGAAAGGCATATCAGAGCCAGGGTTAACCAGAGTCACGGTTTAATTTTTTTGTATTCACTCACAGCAAAGGATTACACGATCCAGACCGACACTGCAGTATTCTTAATATAACTTTTCCAAGTGTATTAATGTTTTGCTTGCGCTTTTGTGTTTTTCGTATCTTGTATTTGGGTTGAGCTCTCGGGGCCACCGTAGTATAAGATCCCCGGAAACAGAAAAGCCAAAGAAGAGGAAAGTAGGTGTGACGTCGTAGTGTTTACAGTGTTCAGTTGAGCCACAAGCTGGTCGGAAGAAAACCAGAGCTAATGAAGCGGATTTAATAGATTTTCTCTCTTTCTATTCGCGTATTTACCGGCAGAGTTCGGGCGGATTTCAATGGGTGGTCACGGGGTTTTGGGGAACGAGCCTGACTCTATTGACTACTCGGTTCACGAAGCCTGGAATGAGGCCACCAATGTCTACCTGCTGGTTATTCTGGTCAGCTTCGGCCTGCTGATCTACGCCAGAAAGTAAGGACCAGGATCAGTTCTCGCTTCGTGCCGTCTCTCAAAATATTAGAATTCACGACATGCTCCATTGCAAAATTGCTTATTGTAAAGTTTCTTTAGTTACAGGGGGACACGTAGCATTACTCTTTTTATAATAATAATAATTTGTACGGTCATCTGGATAATTCGGCAGTCATATAATCATCCAAACGTAATGTGTTTTTAATCGCATGTACATTTTAATTATTGGTCTAAACTACTATCTGAAATATTCTGTCTAAACAATATGGCTTAAAACTATTGGGGCCGATGCATATTCATTGTCGCGCTTTCAAATCTGTCTGTGGTCACTTCAGAAACAAAAGGAAGATCATGCGTATCTTCACTCTGCCTCCCACCGTTGGCAGCAGCCCGGAGCCCAACTTCTACGATAGCCTGCAGAAGGTCCGCCTGCGGCAGCAGCTGGAGATGTACTCTCTTGGTGAGCATTGATGTAGCTTTACACTGAATAAAAACGAACAGCCTGGATCTGGACTTTTTTTCATCGCACTACCACCCACTGGAGAGAACATGGACAGAGAGGGCCAGTTTGATCAATTTGGTGTCAGTAGGGGACACATAATTGTTGACAATACGGTCATTGTACTGTTTTCCCAATTTGGAGACTTTTTAAATGCTACAACATCAAGTCTAGCTTCACGCGTCCATTTCAAGGTTTATAATTCAAAATGTATCTCTCATCCTGCCCTACTCTAGAAAAAAGGGACATAATAACAGTTATTGTTCCAGGTAAGCATGTAAACACCTCATAACTGACAAATGCTTCTGAGGTTTTAGTGTAAGGAACAAAACCTTGATCAGTCTAAATAGGCACCTGTGTTTCATGTGGACATTCTGGGTAATCTTGGTTCCCCTATCTTCTGTCTTGTCTTTTAGCCCGGAAGTTTGAGCAGCAGCAGGGCCAGACAGACAGCGTGCAGCTCTCCATGGAATGAGAGCAGGAGGGAACTCGTCCCTTTCTGTCAGACAAAACACTCCTGCATCTTCAGGGCCTCTGTACGTGGATAGGAATGGACTTGGATGGCTGTCATGATCAAAGATCGTTCAAAAGCCGATTCTCCTATCCTGGTTGTTTCTGTTTGGTTTCTTGAATGAGAAGTGTCTTCATGTACCTTCTGTTGTCTCTTCTTCGTCTGTTATGCATGGAGTAGATACAGCTGGAAGTATGGAGAAAACAAGGGCAGAGGGGAGTGTGGCTTCTTGGAGGTCTGCTGTATGGCGTCCCTTAGTGACTGTTAATTTGGATAGAGGAATGATAAATGTGTAACTGCAGTGTATGTCACTGAGATACTTTCAGTGTATTGTGAGATTAAAAAAAAATCGCCCATGAAGAATTTCTTGGACAGAACAAGGTCCTTCAAATTTAAAATAGGTTCTAGTTGGTTTTAATTTTTTATTTTTTTTACTTGTCAAATGTGAAAATAAAAGCACATAAACCCACAGCTGAGTTAGCAAATGGCATGATTATCAGATCCGTTAACTTGAGTTAAACAGACCGACACTTCATCTGGGGTTTTATTTGACTTTGTGGCACAGCTTCAAAATAATACATTTTCATCCAATTGTGCCTTTTTATGGAAAAAGGAGAAGTTCACCTAAATTACAAAAAAAACATTTTCTCACTTACCACAAGTGATATCTACTCATGTAGATAAATGTTTTACCCACCATTAATCCTCAGAACATGATGTGGCACATGTAATTCAGGTGAAAACTGTTGACAGTTTGTGGATTGTCCACAAAGGGGAAATTGTTTCTGGAAAGAAATATTGCTGTGCTGGTTCAAGGGATACAGACAGAAATATCTCATTACTGCATCAATTGCCATTAAGTTTTCTACAGACATTCATGACCCAACAAGATGAATCCTAATGACTTTATTGATGTTCACATTTGTGGTTTTGAGTGAAATATCTCATCAGATGGATTGCCATGAAATCTGGTGATGATTGAGATGAATTGTAGTAAATTTGACAATCCCGACTTCTCCTTTTAGCGCCACAAACTGGTCAAAAGTCCTTCACTCAAATGTGTTTTGCTAGCGATTTCACTTATTTGACCTTAGTTGTATAGAATGATGTGTGCAGATGAGGGGGCTTGTACTCAAGTTTCTCTTTGAAGCAGGAGACATCTGGTAGCCAGTAGATAAGCTTTAGAAATTAATGTTTGCATATTCATTGATTCTTGATTTTTTTTTTATGAGTTAGGGGAGTGGATGTAATTTTAACAAGTTCTAAGTAGTTTACTGGAACTTTTCGTGTGTGGTGGTGGGGGGGACATTTCAGACACAAATTATTCTAAGCAGATCATTTTTATTTGTCTTTAAACATGCCTGGCGGAGATCTTACTTTGGTTTATGCCATTCCCATCAGCCTCAGCTGTACAATGTGTTTAGTTCTAATTAACAAATGCTAGCATGATAACACAGTTAACATTCTAATGTTAGCTTTTATTTGTGACCATGATAGTGCTTTGCGTCAAATGCTATGTCCAAGTACAGCCTCACAGAGAAGCTAGTGTGGCTGTGGACTCTTGTTTAAGGAATGTTTTGGATGATTCGAGTACAAATGAAATCCCCTTCACAGGTATAGGACAGATATCAGAGACTGAAATCCTGAACCAGGAGAGGTAATTACAGTGAACAGACAACGTTTAAAACCATTACCACTCCTTCATCAATGCAAAGTCTCGCTCCTTTCATAATATGTGAGAAGCTCTCAGAGATCACCAAACAAGGAGCAAATATTATTTTTAGCGAAACATCACACAAACTGCTTTGTTAGTCAGGGACCAACCGAAATGTTCCCTGTTTCATCCAGAGCTGGGAGGTTAAAGAGTAACAACATGTCCACTGAGAACAGAAACAGCTGAGCTCAAGCATACATTAGATAAACCTGGTCATAAAATGGTGACAGAAACTACACAGACATAGTGGGTAATTATCATTACAGTAAAACAGATGTTGGACAAGGAACACATTTTGTTTTCTAAATACAGAACAAACAATTGGAATAAAAAAAAAAAAAAAAAAAACTCACTTATTTGAGTGAGTTAGTTTCTGTAGTGGTACACATTCAAATTGGATTTCTTTGCGAGCCAGCCATCAGTGATGAATTTAAAGTATTTACAAGTTGGTACTGACATTACATCAGACAGCTTCAGCAGTGTAAACATGGCCGTTGTGTGTGCACCTCTTTGGAAAGGTTTTATTTCCTATACGAGATTGTTCAAGCTTGGCACCAGAATGGCACCAAAATATACAAAATGCTCTAAGCATAAAATGAATTGTACAAAGCAGGTTCCTGCCTTAACTCATGTAAGACGGTTACCAGAGCAATAACGAGTATAAAAACATATAAGAACATGTTTTGAAACGAAATATAAAAACACAATTATATACACACACACAAAACAAAAAACAGGCAGCCAAGTCAGGAAACAGCATTAAGATAACCTGTGTTCATTCACACAGCACAGCAAGCGGATTCTGCATAAGTTAAAAACAGTTCAAGTGGCTGGAGCAAGCAAGATGCTCATCTACAATGCAATGCGCTTTATTGAGTAACAAACCCTTAGTGTGGGCTTCGAGGGCAGACGTCCACATCGTCAACAGAGAGAGTGCTGGTATACTGAGACGTCCAGTCCCTGAGGAAGAGCTCCTCTGCTTGGCTCTGCAGAGTCTCTTGGCCTTTCTTAACCTCAGAGCCGGTCTGGTTCACCACCAAGCCCACGCCGGCTGTCTGGGTGAAGTAGTTCTCGGACCAGTTGGATGTCCCTGTGAACACAGAAACAGTCACATCAATTAGATTCAGTGACTGTTGCAGGCACTAACAACATTAACATCAAACATTTTGAGAAGTAACCTCTCACCACCACGAGCTCCATTAAAGAAAATATCTACTAAATGCTAAAAACGCTAGGAAGCAATGATGTAAGCTGCGTGGATATGGATACAATTTTTTCCCCACAGAGAGGAGGAAAGAGTTAATTACTTTGTTCAGAATTGTTTTATGGGTGTACAAAATGAGAGGATTAACACTAACCAGCTAAAATCCTGAACTATCAAAAGCAGACTGAAGCAAAATGTTGTTACAGCCTATCCAGGGGTGGATGCTGTATTCAGATCATTAAGTTAAATAAAAGCAGTAATACAACAATGTAAAGAATACTAAAGTTAGGTAAACCTATATAAAATCAACTTGTTCAAAAAATTTGAATAAAATAGATTTTTAGAAAATTCTGGTGACAAAGTTGAAAAACATCTACTTCACTGGCAGTAGAAAGAAGAAGAAAATATAACTTCAAGGACTCAATTCCAGCCCAAAACAAGTTGATAAGATGGAAATATTTCCTCTCTAAATGAAGCCAATTATATGTTGTGAATAAAAAAAACAGAAGTATTAAGTAGCATATAATGAAAACACCTCGATGTATCTCAAAACTGTACCTGAAAGAGTAAATATATTTATATTCCACCTCTGAGCTCGTCAGTGAAAACGTAGTGAGTGGTAATAGCGTACCTATATAGACCACTCTGTCTGTAACCATGTACTTGGCATGATTGACTCGTGCAAAAGGAATCTTCATCTGCTCCGCTGTTGAAGGCACTGTAAAGATTTTCTGCACAGAAACGAAACACAACAGGAGGTTAGGGTGTATCACCGTTCTGTTCAGGCCGCCATGTCTTCGTCATTGTGCAGAAAATTAAATCTCCCAGCGTACCACATTAATGTCACATTTCAGTGGAGGCCTGTTGAGCACCAGCAGGGACTGCAGGAAGGTAAACATGGAGGAAGGCGAGTGCTTCCAGCAGCTAACCAGGAGTCTCACCTGTACCTCTCTGTAGCAGGCTGCAGCACGCAGGGCCGAGTCAATGGCCGGCCAGAACCTGAGTGAGTGAGAGAGGCAAACCAGGGACACACAGCCAAGCAGAGGAAAAGTTAATATTTAATACATTCCTGTGTTTGTATTCACTAGTGTACAGTGTGATTTACACTTCATGAAGAAAGTCAGTGTTTGGACCAAACTAAAAGCATCACAGCTTTCTTCCAGTTGGGCAAGTTTCCAGCATTTTTAATCAGGGCCCAGTGATGTGACTGTTGTGAATCAACTTTTTAACAATCTATATCTATTTGCAAGACGTCATGCATTGTATGTTACTGTAATATCTGTATACAATCACGTGACTTGCATAACTTAAGTCAACACAGAGAGTCACAGAGATTTAACACATTATTTTGGATTTTGAATATGTAACAATGCAGCGGTAAATAGTGGCGTGACTCTGGTGCGTTGATTGGCCCGTCACCTGATAGGCTCTGTGAACTCAGACTGGGGAAGATAGTCCATGACCGAGATGTAAATAAATTTCTTGGCGTCGTCGATGACAGACAGGATGGTGGAGAGGTCGTCTGAGCGGCCGCGGGCTGAGATCAACGGAGGGGCGCTCTGCAGGAAAACAGAGGAGGTAAGAAAAATGAATAAGAATCACAGGAGCAGCCAGAGAGGAAGAGCACAGACACTCCCCATTGTATCTAGAATGTCATAAATACTCTTGTATGATATTTAAAAAGTGATGTCTGATTATTTTAATGGACTTTTACTAATTTGTTGTATTGATGATCTTAATGCCATTTATCCTCTTCCACTCTGACAAGAACGCAATTCCACTTAAATAAATAATAAATCTAGTAATATATCTGTATTGCCCTTTAAAAAACATGGTAATCCATTTAAAAAAACAAACTCATTTAAAATATAAAGGCAGTTTTTTAAAACATCCCTCTGCTTATAGAGCAGTTTGGAACTTACAGACAGGTAGACTTGAGCAGGGACTCCATTGAACTTCAGGTGCAGGGGATCCTGGGAGCTGGACAGGGCAGAGAGGCGTGCAGGCCAGTACGGTGGCAGGGAGCCGTTGTTCGCGTCGCCAATGCTCCAGTACACCCCAAAGATCCGAAAGGCATCCTGAGCCAGGCAGCTGCAGTCCTCCACTGACAGGCCGACCTCCTTCACCTTGATTTCAACAAAGTACACAGGACGCATTCAGTCTGTCACCACTTATGCCTGCGTTTGTATGCAAGCAGTGGTGTGAGCGTCTGGGGCCCTGCTCCAGGAAGCAGGTTTAATGAGTCATCTGAATGAATTTCCTGAATCCAACCTGGAACCCCCTCTGATCTGGCAGCAGCACAATTACAGTATGTTGCCCTAGATTATTTTACTCAATACATATATCAGCAAAATGTATCACGGCTATTTATCCGCCTTGTGGAACAACATTTGCATTTTAACAATCAAAATTGACAAAAATATTTGCATTCACTTTCACTTAATAATAACCACTAACAATAAGTTACTTTAAGATGCAATTAATCTACAGAATACAATTTACTTGCGTTTAATGTAAACATCAATAATAGGCAGGCACTCTAAAGTCTAGGCATCTTAATCAGCTGTGATATTAATATAATACTAATAACAATAATAATAATAATATTTATATTAATATCACAGCTGCTTAAGTTTACTACACAAACAATTGTGCAGCCCTCCCTGAAAGTTTTACCTGACTTAGAGAGCGCCAGTCCATGTTAGCGCTACCCAAGTACAAGTGCTTTTGATCGACCACCCACAGCTTGGTGTGGACAATGCCTCCAGTTACAGCCTTGAGGTCTACCTCTCTGACTTCTGCACCTGAAAAACAGAAACCTGCACGATGAGAAATCATGGCTGTTTTCTATTTTGGTTTGAAAGAACAATTAGCACAACAACAGAGGCTGTTCTCCATGTTGTCAGGACGTGATGTACCTGCTGCAGCCAATTCTGCCGTATCTTGAGTTGAGGCCTGGGGGGCGTTGACGGCAATCTGGAGTTTCACACCTTTGGATTCAAGCTGTTTAAGCTGCTTAAAGACCTTTCGTCCCTGAAAAATATGTGGCGATAAGATCGTGCACATTAGATCTTCAAAGGATTCATCTACAATCACTGGATACGCTGCATCATAAGGCCAGGGCATGGCGCTGAACTAACCTGAGAGTCAGAGGAGCCAGAGAACTCCAAATCGCTGCCTCGTAGAGTGAAGTAGAAAGCAGCGATATGGACCGAGCTGTTGGCCTTGTGCAGCAGATGAAGCCAGCTGTCTGCGATGCTTTGTCTGGACGAGGGAGAAGACTGGTAGAGGCCCACAGGGATGCTCTCCACCAGATGCACTCTGAACAATGGAGGGGGAAACTAAAGCTACAACCACTTGCACACCAAACAGAACCCTTGATCATCTCAGGTTAGGAGAGCTGATCGAATAGAGCCTGCAAAACATTTCTGTAGCTGCCCATATGTCAGCTTCAAAAAACAGCAAAATTAACACAAAGTTTGGTGCAATCATGCTCAGATAACTGTTAATGAGAAGGTGAAAAAAATAAAAAAAAATAAAAAGTTGTTTCTTTCAGAATGTTTTTGTCATGATAAGGTTTGGTCTGACTGGAGAGTTTAACACTTTGTTGATCATTTCTTACCGACAATCAGTGCTGCAAGGCTCTGGTACTAATCCAAAGCCCTCCAGCAGGTTCAGTTCCAGCTGAGCTGTGAGCTGAGCCACAGACATGGGAAGCCCGTAGTGCCAAACATGCTGGCCAAAACCCCCTAGAAGCAGCAAGGTAGTGGGCAGGAAGCAGAAGAGGGCAAAACCAGAGCATCCTGAGCTCTACAAAACAAGAGGACAAGTAAAAGTTACGATCACTGCTTTGACAAGAGACTGGGACGCAGCGTAGTATCGTGTTGCATGCCACAGCTGCTGCTGCAGGGTGTGGCGAAATTCCTTTGTGTATGACCGACTCTGACGATCAAGAAAACAGTGCGACTGATATCAACAGACTTTTTTAGGCAAGTAGAGCGACATAACTCACCTTAGTTACCTTGACTGACTTGGCTTTAGCAGGCTCCTCTGGTGCTACAGGAGAGGCCGATTCTTCAGTTCCAGCTATTTCCTCTGGAAGATCTGAAAACGCAGACTGGCTTATAAGTGGCTCGCGATACTCCTTCACCTCCCCTGAATCGGGGCCCTCAGACTTTCCACCTGCCAAATCATCCTCGCATTCAACATCTGATGAAGACCTGCTGTCCTTTAATTCAAGTATGTTCATCTGCGCTGTCTCCCACGGTGGCTCTTCATTCATGATAGCATCATCTTGGCTAACCTCAGTTGCGTGAACAACGTCTGCAGACTTTGACTTCATAGTATCTCCAGAGGCAGTGAGGGTAATCCTGCTTTGAACCTCATCAACATCGTCTTCCTGTGGCTTTTCACTGACGGAGCCCTCGTGTGGAAGGTGAGATAAGGTGCCTTCTGCTGTGGTGTCAGATTCCATTTCAAACCTTTTACTCTCGTCTTCGTCTGATAAACGTAGCGCGGATCTGTGCTCTGGTCTGAGCGCAGGCCTGGGGCTGACAGTCATGGAAGGGCACGGCACAAACTCAGACAAACTCCAGCTCTTGGGTACAGTATTTAGGGAACTATGGGCTGTTCCAGGGACTTGTTCTGTGTTGGTGAACGGTGACGGAGCGTCGAAGCCAACTTTGGGGACGCGGATCGACGGCAGGGGTAGTGCCGTTTCTCTGACATCGGGTAACTTGGACTTGGAAACCTCTACACTTCCAACCCCAGCTTTCTCGTGGGGCTGAGCTACATGGACAGGGGTATCTTTCTTGGGAACAGGCAGCTCTGTGTTCTGGCTCGCACCGATGGGTCGTTTATGGAAAGTAGGAATTCTGGAAACGGGTTTCCCACCTTTGCGGTTCATGTCTTCTTTTTCCTCAAGCTCTTTTTTTGCAGCCCTGTCGGCAGCCGAGAGACGTTCCAGCACAATGCTGCAATGCTTCAGTTCCTGAGGAAGACAGAAATTCATTAGAAAAATCTGTCTATGAAAGTAATTTCTCCATATGCACATAAGTTTTAACCCTGTGACTCTGAAATGACATTTGCCTTAGTTGTACATTACACCAAAAATACCTTTAAGCTAGCAGTTAAACAGCCATTTTCAAACTCAATAACCTGTAGTCTTTTGTTCCTTGCCTTGATACTGTTTAACAACAACACTATAACACTGTACATTAACTCGAGAGGCGTCTGCAGAGCTGTAATTGCTAGAGTGACCACACCTATTCAAATGAGCGCTCCTATCTGATTCTCCTCAGCATGGCTACCGCAGACTGTTTAATGTTTAATGTTGTCAGGGATGTTTATGAACCTGACATGCGTGTTACCATGGCTTCAGCATCATTTAACTTTGCATCCTGATGGAACAACAAACAGTCAACTTGCTTTACACCAGATGTTCAATGGCAACCATCTTTCAGTGTTCCAAAATAGATACCCGGGATGGTTCATTAGGGCGTGACAAGTCCACAGGTCACATTTCTGTGGCTGCTGCATTCATTCAACAAGATGTATTATAGTCCTCCCACAAACAATGAATACTGACATCTACCGCCGTTTACAAACAGTTTTTACCTTTTATTGACTGTGAAATCCATTTTAATAAGTGAGTCTGTTTGTATAGTTTTTATTTTACTGTCCAACAGCATAGGCCGTCACAATTTTTTTTCATGTCACAGCCGGGAAACCCCAGGTGTAATGCATGCTGGCTCACAGCTCACTGAGACACTTGAATAGAACTGAGCCATTTAATGATATTAGTAAGACCTGGGCGTTGCCTGCTATGACAAGTCAAAATGTATGCCGTGAAATAGACGGATGCATGCAAATATCTTTTTTCATTATTTTCAAAAGAACAACTAATAAATCTACCTACCTACCTATATGATAAAAACAAATTAGCCTAAATATAATCCCCACAAATATTGATAGTGGCCTCATAAGTGCAGTACTGGTTTAGTTTTTCGGTTTATATGTAAATATCTAACTCATAGGCCCAAAACATAAATCAGCTTTACTTCTCTACAAGCAGTCTAAAGGAGATTAAGACACTTCCGCACTAGCCTGCCAATATTTCCTGGTGATGATTACATGCTGCTTCACATAGACAAAGGTTATTTCTCACCACATGAAAAACGAGTAGTAGAATCAAGGGTTGTGCCACACCCAGGGATCCTGCTGTAGGTAGCTCAGCAGTCCAGGCCTATACAAAAGCTGCATGTGTGTTTGTTTGGGTTTTCTGTAGGGTGATTTACAGACTAACCATTACACCGGCCTCCTCAGCAGTTTCCTCCTTCAGCTCAGCAGGACTTTGATGTCTCTCCATCACTTGGCTCTGGACAGTCTCAGAGTCTGACTCATCTGACTCCTGGCAGGACAAGGTCGGTTATATGCACAGTTAACAAGGAAGAAACAGCACTGAAGTAATAATGCATCAGTTATACTTTCCACAATCTAACAATGGGCGTCGTGTATCGGTTGCATCTTCATCTACACCATGCCAATTGCAAAAGTAAAAATAAATAATAGAGGCAAAAACGTTTTGTCATCTTCCTCACATAGAAACGTCGTCGGCGTGGAGAAAAAAGTACTTACCATGATGCAGTGAATTTCTAGGTGGTAAGTTTTGGCTGGGCGCAGGGGTTCACACTCACTGTGAGCTCTGAACGCTTATGCTAACAAGCTAAACAAATATTATAAACGTCGCAAGTCGCAATGGCAGTAAATATACCACAGTTTAAGGCGGGCTGGTTTCTAGATAATCCTTCCTTGAGTATTTTTGTCCTGTTAGCCAGCTAACGTCGCTGCCTTTGACGTTAGCGAGCACGCTACGTGGCCGACTGTGAAGTTTTCAGCGGTGGAGGAAGAGGAGGCGGAAAAGCTGAGTAATAGAAATACCCACCTCGTATGAAGTACTACCGTGCAGGCGGGTCGACCTTCTCGGTACCTCATTTGCCTCTCTGGTGTTAATGGACTTTCTGGACCGCAGTACCATCGGCATCTTCCAGTCCAGTAATACACAAGCACCTTCTTCACACGAGATTAACGGACGGAACGGGACGCGACGTTAATCAGCAGTTAGCGTTAACTAACGTTTTCTTGATTTCCAGAGCCTACTGTGGCAAACGGCTAATTGAGCTTTGGTACACACAAAGTGCATTAGACAGCTGCTATTTATGAAAACACATGAGTCAGTGAGCTATAAACAACAAGAACGTTTACTCTAAATGCGCCGTGCTTATCAAGAACATAAGTAAACAACAAATTGAAGAAACCGCGATTTCCTGTAGTCACTGATTGGCGGTTGCACTCAAAGGATTGGCTCCGCCTATCAGACGTTAATGCAGCCCACACAACACGGAAACGAGTGATTAACATCGTCCGTAGCGCACTCTGGACTCCGATGTTCACTTTAAATAAGGTCTGTTATTATAGTTCAATTATTATTGACACCTGAAACATGGGCTGGTGTTGTGAGCAAGTAAAGTGTAATATCGCGACAGCTCAGTAGTCTACGTTAATTTTAGTGTACAAAGTTAGTTTCGGTTAACGTTAGCTTAGCCGCTGTTGAGCAGCCTGAACGGAACCTGACCTGTTGTTTATGTTCAAAGGTAAACACACACAGCTAACTGGGTGACGGAGTTTCAAAGGGTAACATTTGCTGAAAAATACTCGGGGAATGAAAACATGTAAAATTACAGTACAAATAGTCCTATAAATACTACACGACCGAAGAGAAATGTTCATGTTTTTGAGAATGTTTACGTGCTTTTGTATTGATTAGTTAAAGCCACCATAATGTGACTGTAATGGGGCTGTATTTTGTCAATGGCTAAATTACGGGTAATTTTAGAATATTTTAAGACAAAAAAATGTTTGCCTAGTAGTGGGAACTATGGAGAAATCATACAAGGTAGATTTATATTTATTCATTATTTTACAACATAGGGTTGTTCTGCTCTTTATGCTACCCCCCAAAAAACAAACATTATGTAAAAAAAACAACTATATATAGTAGATGGATGAATGATAATAGGTCATAGAAATATAGCTAGAGCTATGATCTCTTAGGTTAATATAAATGTTATATCACATACAGTCCCCTCCAAAAGTATTGGAACGGTAAGGCAAATTCCTGTGTTTTTGTTGTTCACTGAAGACATTTGGGTTTAAGATCAAAAGATGAGTATGAGACAAGAGTTCAGAATTTCAGCTCTCATTTCCTGGTATTCACATCTAGATGTGTTAAACAACTTAGGACATATCAGCGTTTGTATTAGACCACAGCATTGAGCAAAAGTTATGGAACAAATAATCTTAAAGTAAATAACATTTAATATTTGGTGGCATAACCCTTGCTTGCAGTAACTGCCTCAAGCCTGCGACCCATCGACATCACCAAACTGTTGCAGTCTTCATTTGTGATGCTATTCCATTCTTTTACCACAGCTTCTTTCACTTCTTGTTTGTTTCGGGGGGTTTCTCCCTTCAGTCTCCTCTTAAGGAGGTGAAATGCATGCTCTATTGAGTTAAGGTCAGCTGATTGACTTGGCCAGTCTAAAACCTTCCACTTTTTTCCCCTGATGAAGTCCTTTGTTTTGTTGGCAGTGTGTAAACTTCCTCCCGATTAGTTTCAATGCATTTCTCTGTAAATTGACAGACAAAATGTTTCTGTCCACTTCTGAATTCATTTTGCTGCTACCATCATCAGTTACATCATCAATAAATATTAATGAGCCTGTTCCAGAAGCAGCCATGCACGCCCAAGCCATGACATTACCTCCACTATGCTTCACAGATGAGCTTGTATGCTTCGGATCATAAGCAGTTCCTTTCTTTCTCCACACTTTGGCCTTTCCATCACTTTGCTAGAGATTAATCTTGGTCTCATCAGTCCATAAGATTGTGTTGCAGAACTTTTGTGCCTCATCTCTGTACTTCTTTGCAAATTTCAATCTGGCCTTCCGATTCTTCCTGCTGATGAGTGGTTTGAATCTTGTGGTGTGGCCTCTATATTTCTGCTCTCTGAGTCTTCTTCCAACAGTGGATTGTGATACCTTCACCCCTGCTCTGTGGAGGTCGTGATGTCACTTACTGATGTTTTGGGGGTTTTCTTCACAGCTCTCACGATATTTCTGTCATCAACTACTGTTGTTTTCCTTGGTGACCTGTTGGACGTCTGTTGCTCAGTACACCAGTAGTTTTTCTTTTTCAGGAAATTCCAAATTGTTGTGCTTGCTATGCCCAATGTTTGTCCAATGGCTCTGGTCGATTTTCCTTCTTTTCTCAGCTTGACAGTGGCTTGCTTTTCTCCCATAGACAGCTCTCTGGGCTTCATGTTGGTTTATGAACCAAGCATGAAAACTTAGACTAGTCATGCAGAGCTATTTAATTTTTGGACAGTCAACCTAAAAGGCAACACCTGGGCAACAAGAAACATCTGTCAGTCACATGTTCCAATAGTTTTGCTCACTTGAAAAATGGCTGGGTTCAAACAAACGGTTTGTCCTGATTTGTTTAACAAATCTAGATGTGAATACCAGGAAATGAGAGCTGAAATTCTGAACTCTTGTCTCATACTCATCTTTTGATCTTAAACCCAAATGTCTTCAGTGAACAAAAGAAAAAAGGAATTTGCCTTACCGTTCCAATACTTTTGGAGGGGACTGTATGTATAACTATTAACACTTTAAGTAACCAAATAGGAATCGGTGTTATTTTTGGCAAATCCAGTAAATTAAACAGCAGACAGATACTTTATGTTGTTGATGCAAAGATCAGATAAAAACACAAACATGTTGACAAATGTGGTGTCACGGTATGCATGTCCAACCATACGAGTGAAGATATACAGTTTTCCGTTTCTTGCTCACTGTTCTGTTCATGGCCTGCTGACCTCTCGTGATGACGTTTCTGTCTTTAGGTCTCCCATGTATGTCCTTCAGGCTGAGAGGAGAAGGTCTGGCACTTCCTCTGTGATGGTGGTGGACAGTTAGTCAGTCCTGTCAGTACTCCCAATGGAAGCTCCAGTCACAGCTGCCCCTCCTCCCAACTCCTCCACCCTGCCTACCCCGGCCCCCCTGCGTCCGGCCGTGGCCCCCTCGGTCCAACTTAGCTTTACTGTCCTCTACACCACTCTGTACTCTGCACTGTTCCTGGTGGTGTACATCCAGCTCTGGCTTCTCTACCTCTACAGACACAAACGATGGAGCTACCAGAGTGTCTTTCTGTACCTCTGCCTGCTCTGGGCTGCCCTCCGCACCACCCTGTTCTCATTTTACTTCTGTAACGCTTTGGAGGCCAACCACCTACCTGTTGCAATCTATTGGCTGCTCTACTGCTTCCCTGTCTGTCTGCAGTTCTTCACGCTCAGCCTCATTAACCTGTATTTCACTCAGGTAAGAATGTGGAGAACAGGACAGGGGTTATTTATTTGTAGCCTGGTCACACCAGCTGTAATGTGGAGGGAAATACTGAGAGAAATTAATAAAAAAGAATTGGTCTGATGCCAGCATAGTGATAAACACACTTGTCATAATTTAAAAAAATATATTAATCACAAACCAAGGCCACCTCGCATGCCGAGCAGGGGAATTCCTTTCAGTAGCTGTCTGCCAAACAGCATTTAGAGTTAGTAAAAGCTTTACAGATGTTTAGTAAACATTTCTTTTGCTTTTAGTTTCATTCTTAATGTCTGCTGTTTACTCAGTTGCTTATTTCTCTCTTGCACCACAGGTGTTACTCAAAGTGAGAGAGATTTGTATCTCAGGAGTGGACAGAGGACTGTAAGTTTCACTCTACAGTAAAGAATAAGCCATTTTTGCACTTGGAACAATTCTATGTGAGGCTTTTGTTCTGAACCCTGATTATCCTGATTAAGCCTCGGAAACACCATATGACTACTAACCCATTTGTCACTCTGGCCTCCATGTCTTCCACAGGTGGCCGGCACGGTGCATGTACGGTGCATTGAGCGCCATCTTCCTCTGCGTCAACGTGGTTTGTGCGGCCCTCGGGGACAGAGGCGTCGGCGGTGGGTCACGGGAGTGGACCTGGAAACTGGTCCTGATACGAGTTCTAGTCAACGACTCACTCTTCATCCTGGAGGCGGTGTTTCTGGCCACCGTGCTGTTGCTCCTGACCAAACACTCGCGCTCCGCCAGCCCCTACCTGATCAGCAAGGTGGGCAAAGTTATAATGTTAAAAGCAACACAAGATAAAGGGGTGCTCAGTCCATTTTACACATCAAGATTAGTTTACTCCTAGTGATTAGTCCTATTCAGCCTGTGAAGACTGTTGTATAATGTCTTCTGTGGCTCTGGGTTGTCTAAAAGTCAGGACATCGCTGCATCTATTGTGACCGAGTCCCCCAATTCTATGGAAGTGCTGTACAAATCACTGGTGTACCGCTTTAAACATAAACCCCTTCTTACCCTCCTCTGTAATTCAGATGGTACTCCATACTAACAGTGCCTTCTTTTTACCTGACCAGGGGACCACAGTGTGCCGGACAGCAGCACTGGGAGCAGCAGTAATCTTGCTGTTTGCCAGTCGAGCCTGCTACAACCTGGCAGTCCTCATCCTGTCTCAGAGCTACCCGGTGGAGTCATTCAACTTTGACTGGTACAACGTCTCTGACCAGGTAAGCATCTAATGTTTGAGTTGAGGCCCTCTGAACCAGTGTAACACACTCTACGGCCTGGTTCAAGTTGGCTGTTATGTTTTATTGTTAAGTTTGATAGCCAGGCCTGTAAAAATGCCAAAACAAAACTAGATAACTCTGCATGTTTATTTGTAGGCTGACTTGCGTAGTGAACTAGGCGACAGGGGCTACCTGGCCTTTGGCATCATCCTCTTCATATGGGAGCTGCTCCCAACCAGTCTGCTCATCCTCATCTTCAGAGTTCGCCGGCCTGCTCAAGAGGTAGTTAGTACAGTCCTGCTCACCATTATTGGCACGCATGAAGTTTAAGTACATAATGTGGAACTTGTGATTGATACAAAAGAGCAAATGATAAACAACAATTAAAAACAATAAACAATGGGAGGAAAAAATAGAAAACCTTAAAGCTTGCTGTGTCACTGGTATTGGCACCCTTTGCTGTAAATCAGTATGGAAACACATTGTGACTCACCTGTGGTAAATCACAAATGAGAATCACCTGTGATAAATTGTCTGTGCCCATGAATTAGCCAATGAATGATAACTTCCGTGTTTTAAAAAGCCATCTGTTATCCCCTGTTCCTTTATCACAATGGTGAAGACAAAGGAGCTGTCTGAGGACATCAGAAGTGCGATAATTAGCAAACACAAGACCTATAAAGGGCATCTCCAAAGACCTTGGTATCCCTGTTTCAACAGTGCATAATTAGTTATTAAAAAGTTTTCCAAGCATGGAACTGTCAAGAACCTCCCTGGATGTGGGGGGAAGAGAAAAATCCATGTGAGAAGTCTGCGAAGGTTGGTGCGAATGGTGGACAAAACACCACGTCAAACATCCAAAGACCTGAAGGCCAACCTGGAACAGTCTGGGGTCATGGTTTCAACAAGTACCATATGCTGCACACTAAACCAAACAAGGCTTCATGGGCGAAGGCCAAGGAAGACACCATTGCTGAGGAAAAGACTATTTTCTTTACTTTAATTACATTGGACCTCCAATTAAAAGATCCTGATGATATCAATTTGGTACATTTCTATTTATTTCTGAAGATATTGTAGAGGTTATGCAAAAAATGAAGGGGTGCCAATAATGGTGAGCATCTGACATGGTACATCTGACAGAAGCTGGACAAAACGTCAACTAAAGAAAGACATTTAGAAATGAAACATGAGGGACAGGATGTGCATTGCTGAAGCAGTGTTTTTTTTCTAATTGTCACAGAGTAGCAGCCTGGCCGTCAACAACAGGGTCCTACCTCGTCCATATTTCTTCGATGACCCTCAAGGCAGCGAAGATGATGCACCTGTCCCATGGGTACGCAGTTCACATCCGCACTCAAGGTACTCATTCAAACCATGTTAGACTCATTAGGAGAGCGGAGATCATTAGTCAATTAATGAATTAGTCAAACAGAAAGCTGTTCATCAACTTTTGATATTGGATTAATCACTGAAAATGTTTTTTTAAAGAGAAAAAATCTCATTTCCTAGTTCCAGCTTCTCCAGTGTGATAATGTACTGCTTCCTTTATTTGATATAGGGTTGTAAGTAACAATGATTTCAGTTGTTGATGAACCTGGAGACTATCTTCACAATTAATCGATTAATTGTTTGGCTAATAAAATGACAAAATATAGTGAAAAATGGCCATCACAGTTTCTTGCAGCTGAAACCAACATGTTTAAATGACTTGTTTTATTTGCCTACAGTTAAAATACTCAAAGGTATTCACTTTACTAAGATAAATTTCGAGAGAACACTGCACAGGAGGAACAGCTGCCATCTGTTCCTCATCTTCTCATTCTGTTTCAGCTGGTACGGATCAGAGACCGCTCCCCTCCTGTTCGCCAGCAATCCTCCAGACCAGAGCCACCAGCACCACTCGTTCTACTCCACCCCCCAGACCTGACCCTGACCCCTTACCGCCATCAGGGCCACTGTGTACTCGATGACATTCATCTCAAGGACAAACCACACACAGCTACTGGCCGGGAGTGACCCCCCTGTGTCAGCAGTTATTTTGCACTGAAAACCTCAGGAAATCATCACCAAACAGTGAATATGCACCTTGTAGTTTAGTTTTTGAACAGAGAATATATTTAAATCTCTCTTAGCTCAAAGGGAACAAACTTGGTGGGAAAAGCCCAGACAGATGTCAGTGATCTCCTTATAAAGGTTAAGCTGAGATTTAGAAACAATTTGTTAGTTTGTTTTAAATAAGTCATATTGTGGATAAAACAAGGCAAACTAGCTCTTACAATTCCTAAAAATGGCACATTTATCTTCGTTAGCATTCCTTTATTAAATTAATATACGTACTAATACTGCCGTGTAGTCCATAAGCTCACAGCATTTGATAACCCTGTGTAACCATTGAAGATACTACTTTGCAGTTTTGTGAAAAAGGTAACTTTTCTCATACACTGTTTCAAGTGTATAGGGCATTGACTAAAATACAAAGATCACCTATCTCTTGTGGCATTTAGTGTACAGTTTTCATCAAGACTAGTGATGTCTTGCAGGTGCTGCAGGATTTATTTTTCTGTCTGCTATTGAGTTGATTTTTTATTCTTAATCCCTTCCTGTATACTAAGTTTAACTTATTTTATTCAGTTCCATCTTTTAATTGTAGCTCAAAATGAAGTGTTATTCTCCTTTTTATGTCTTTACTGGAATAAGGCTTACTGTGGTTTTGACTTTACCATGACTGACATTTACTATGTAAATAACAAATCAATAAAAAACTTCAGGTTTGTGATTTCTGCATAATTTCCATGGAAGTTTCACAGAAAGAGCAATGTAATTTGGTACTAATTATATGGAAAATAATTTGATGGTACACTGGTCAGCTGAAACAAAAAAATTATAATTGTTAATGTGTAAAAGAAAGTATATAGTATAAGAGTATATTGGGAATAAAGTTGCCAATAATAAATTAAAGCTTTTCTTTCAAGGAAATTCCTATTTTCCCGATAATTAGAAATGACAGATTCTGTTAGATGAAGCATTACTGCATTACTTAACAGCAATAATATTACAGAGCAGACATGAGCTTCACTGAGATGGGTAATTTGTCGTTTCATATTTTTGCCAAATGATTAAGAGATGAAATTACTGGAAACCAGAGGCTGAATCTAAAATATGTAAGAACACTTCATATAAACCCTCTGATGAGATGTTGACCGAACAGATTTAACTTTTCCTTCACAGTAATCATCTTGTGACCACTCAGATTCATAATAGGAACCCCCTGAGCCACTTGGCGTCAGTTTGTGAAAATACAAATCAATAGACATGTTATGCCCCTGCCTTTCAGTCGAACAGTTTATTCTGCATTATGTACAGATCATCCTATTAAAACTCTTTATACAGTATGTACACATTCAATAAATCATTGTGTTACAGCGTCTGCAGTGGCAACAGAAGAGTGATGAATGTTAAAGAAAAAGAAAGCCAAAAGCGTTTATCATCTTCCCTTGATTGAAGTCACTGGATCCGACCCCGATCCAGGTGCTTTGTAACATGTTGATGTGGTGAATGCGACCACCGTTATACTGAAGAAAGCTGAATTAAACAAAAAATCTAAGTGATGGCAAAGACCTCACCGACAGTAAAAACTACCAAACACAAATCTCTCAAGTCTCTCTCACGTTGACCAAAATGACTGGATTTGAATTCCTTTTTCCACCTGATTACACCTACAAACCTGCAGCTGCGTTATTGCAGTAGTCATTGGGGGGGTGTGGGGGCAAAACAAAAGACAAAGTCGTGCTATTGCTTTCTGACACAAACAGTCCAGATAAGCGGTAAAGATCATTGCGACTCCCAGTAGCGCGAGTCCAACTCGACACAGTTAGAAACCTGAGCCTGTGGAAGGCGAGAGCCACGAGGACGAGAGGCAATGAGGACCCAAAGCAACGGTCAATCAGCTCAGAGTTCCTGTTGGTCCAGAGCAATATGTCTGAGTCAGAACGCGGGTCAATTGTCTGGAGGGGGTGAGGACGATGCTGACGACGATGTTGCGGTCTCTAGCTTGCGAAGGCGGCGGCGCCTCAGCTCTGCGGCGTTGGGTTCTCCATCCTCGTCCCCCACAGACACTGCTCCTTCGTCCATCTTTTCTTTGCTTTCTGTGTCCAAGGCAGGAGAAGTAGAGTCAGGTAGCTGAGAGGAGACTGTAGCTCCCTCGACCCGCTCAGCTGGAAACAGAAAAAATATATATATCAAGTCAGGGTCCAAGGTTTTTTGTTTAATCATCTTGGGTGTTGATGTGAAGTGTCAGTTTACTTACAGCTGGGAGAGTCCTTCTCCTGGCTGGCACTGTCCGTGCTGCCGCCAGCTGCAGGAGATGAAGCAGCGTTGTTTGTCCCACTGGCTTCTCCAGCGCTGCCCCCAGCCCGAGGAGGACTGTGGAGAACACAGCAGCAGAAGGATAATGAAGCATACGCTTAATTCAACATGAGTAGGCTAGCTACTTCTAACAACCAATTCAAGCTTTATTTGTCAAAAGAATAAAATAAAGCACACGCGACTTCAACTAGAGAAGGCTCGGTTACTTGAGTGTGGCCACCGTGCTGAGGTAGTGGTGGATGTTGAGCATGGCGGCGTCCAGCAGGGTGTGGATGTTCTGGAGACACTGGAGCCTGGCCTCGAGGCCCCTTCGGCCTTCTGCCTCCAGCTCCCTCAGCTCCTCCTCTGACAGCCGGGACAGAGACGGAGGAGGCGGAGGCATTGATGACACTGGAGGGGAGGAGAGGCAACACTCAGAATGTAAGTGGAACTTAAAATGTGGAACTATTAAAAGTGTTGCTCCGTGTGAAACTCTGTGTAACTTGATTTGAAAAGTGCTCTACAAATACTGTTCATCTTTATTATCAGTCAATCTGAGAGGGAGTTACTGCAGCTGAATGTCTTCACTGTAGTTTACTGTATCATATTGGGGTTAACTTACTGATGGCTGCTTGTTAGATACAACTGTAAATGCTGCATTTTGACAAATAAATAAAGTGGGAAATGGGACTTTCACACAGTGTGACCGGATAGTTGATGTTACGATAATGCACAGCACTTCCTTAAACAAAGGCTGATAGAAGAAGTAAGATGTTAACAATAGGACTCATCCACATAAATCTAAAATTGCACATTTCCCTATTATTTCTAATATAGCGGCATGACAGCAGCGTTCAAAATTACCACCGACCACTTGCCAAAACTATAAATTTAAAAGAAATCTACGTTGGCAAATAAAATAAATGAGGTCAGTGAGTTTGTGGCAGAAGAGAGTACTCGACAAATAAGACCTGCTTGTATGTGGTGGAACTAATTTTGTGAGAAAACAGAATTGATTGAAGACCAGCATTTTTATGGAAAGTTAAGTTAAGTGACTCAGACATTCAGATGTATTTATTCGAGACAGAGAAGAAATGCAGCGAGAGGTCGAGGCTGCCGCTGCAGTCACCGCTGTGCAAGAGGATATGGCCCCCGGGGACCTTCCACAACCCGGGCTGCCGAGAACAAACGGCTAATGATGGTGCTTTTGCTTAAATTGCTCTCCAATGCCAACAGAAGTCGAATCATTCTGCTGCAATGAATTTCAGCGCGGTCAGTTTTTGTTGGATGATGTCGCCAACGCCAACCCCGAGAGCCAGAGTGTGCGTTATTATGCGTGAAAGTTTTGCTCTTCAATTCAACTTAAGTATGCTGGAGACCTTCTTCGGCATCCCGAAGATGAAGTGGAAAAGACGAGTGAGTATTTTTGTTACCTAACGCTATGTTTTGGCCAACAAAGTTATAGCTAGCGTTACAAGTTAGCAGGCTGGGGTGATCATGGACTAATGTTGTACTATTGAGGGACAGTCAAGAGAAACTGTGTGAGCTTTAAGCCTCATTTAAACCACAGAAATAGCAAGATTAGTAGGTTGGATGCTGGTAACAGTTTTTTTTAATGGTGCTTTTTGTGGAACTTCCCACTGCAGCTCTAGCTCAGCAAGTGTTAACTTACTTGTTATAAAGAAGCCTGTTCTACCGGTGTATGTGTGTGTGTGTTGCTCCTGCATGTAAATGTACCTGATAGACATGCCCTGATGATAACGATATAGCTTCATGTGAAAATATGCAGAAGTTAATATCCTTGGCAACGTTGTGTAACTTTGATTAGTACCCAGCAGCTAGCTTGATCAGAGCGGGTGTCAGAAGCTCGCATGCAATGCATCCTGGTACATGTAGACACTGCCTGCATAGCTGCACCTGCAGGAGAACTCTGCTTCCTCGGTCAATATACCACACAAAGGAATGCATTGCTTCAACTGACTACATTTACCATCAACACTGACTGGACAGCCACATAAAAGGTGCGGAATCTTCCCTTTAATTTTGGACCCTTCTTGCCAGAACTAGCTGGGGGGGGAAGAGGTTAACGTTGTGCTCACCCCGTCTTTCTACTTATTTTCTATAGAGTGTCAAGTCACCAAGCTTATGTTCATTTTAATCTGAAAGACAGTTCAGAGTGTTTGTGCTTACCAAATGGAGGAGGAGGTGGCATGGGGAGCCATGGGGCAGTGGGGAAGGGAGGAGGGGGGAAGGAGAAGGGGAAGCCCGGGATTGCTGATCCCGGAGCAGCAGCAGCAGCTGCAGCAGCTGCAGCAGCGTCTGTAGTTGATGAGGTGGGCTGGCTGGTACCTGAAAAAACAAACATTTTGGGTAGACATCGCGCTATGCCAGAGTAGAAAATTAAATGAACCAATACAGGTACAGATACTGTAACATTGGTACTGGTGAAATATACTCAACAAGGAATTGTTAAACCTTTCAAATACTTTGAGATTGTTTTTTCCCCTTTTGTGGTGTGGAAAATTGGCGTGGGTAATTTGTTGCAGGAGAGCATGAGGTATCCTTACCAGCTGCCTGTGTGGCCTCTGTGCTGCTTCGTGGTGCATCACTAGCACCAGGAGCTGCAGCTGGTGCAGCAGGAGGAGGCACTGCAGGGAAGGGCCCCCAGAAGGGGAAGATGCCAGGAGGGAACCCAGGTAACATTCCTGGGGCTACTGGAGAGGAAACGGAACAAAAGAGATGTATTTACCAGATGCTGCTTAAACACATTTAATATGCTCTGCAAAGTGGTCAACATGACTCATAAGACTACTTGTTAACTAAACCGAGTCCATTTCATATAATGACCACATTGTACCAAGACTTCTGGACTAGTATGTCAAAACTTAAAGTCACTATGGATAACGAATGTAAACATTTTCTCAAAGTGAAAAAGCCCCCATAACATACATCTAAAAAGGTACATTAAGCCGGTCAAACAAGTACTGGTACAGGTGAAATATTACTCTCAGGTATTGGAATGTGCAGTATTGCATAAGTTGCCTCAAAGGCATTTCTCAGCTCTGCTTTACTCTTGTACAGTGGCTTTTTACAGCTGAGGGCACCCACATGTGGGTGTAGGTTGGCTTCATGTAGTGGTGAGAAGAAGACAACAAAGACAGGTTGTAATCATGTGTACTGGATTTGTCTCTCACCGTTGGCAGGTGGGGCTGCTGGGGCGTTGGCGGGGGCTGCAGGAGCAGGGGGGCGGGACCTGAACGGGGGCTGGAGTCTGATTGTTATTAGATGCACGCAGAACGTCCATGCGACAGGTAGGGCAGGTCTGCTGCCTCTGGAACCAGGAGCGCAGGCAGCTGTGGGGAGGAAGGGAGGGTAATCCAACATTATTTCAAGTACTACAAGAACAAACAAATAGGAGGGCTGAACGATTTT